ATGGAAAAAATAATCTGTAACTTATCAAGGGTTTGTGAGGGAGGGAGGGCAGGTGGAGGACGGAGTGAGAAGAAATGGGGAATTGATATCAGGGGCTCACGTGGGAAGAGAATGCTTTGAAAATGATAATGGCAGCATATGTGCAAATGTGGTTGACACATTGGATGAATGTATGGATTGTGATAAGAGATGTAAGAGCCCCTAATAAAAGTATTTTTTTAAATGGTTATTTTTTGAGAGCCTTGCCAACACAGGTAGGAAGTGATGACAATGGGTTTTGTGTGCTGTTAGGTAAAATATGGTCTTTCTTTTTGCTTTAATGGTGTATCTTTGCTCATTGTTGCTGGTAAATTTAATACTTTCTGTTTTTGTAGCAATACTCTGTAGCTCCTTGGTTTAGTATTACTTTATGAAGTTATTTGAAAAGTGATCATTATAATAATGCCTAATTGTCAAACGTGTTGCATATTTTGCATTTGGTTTTCATTTTCTTCACGAACTCTGAGTCATACTGTTTTCATTTCATTTTAGCTGGTCATACTTATCACATTTTTCTCCCTCTCTTACTGGGATCTGCTCTTGTGTTTCACAGTTAAATAGGATGTTGGCAATTGGTTTTATATCATGTTTCAATCAGAGAAGTGGTTTTATATTCCTAAATGTAAAAAATGTTTGCAACCAGAAAGTAATTTAGATTACATTAAGAAATTGGTAGCATATTAGATAATACCATGCCATAATGACATAATTTGATTTATTTATATAGTGAATTATAATAAACCAGTTACTTCCATAACATAAACCATGCTCTGAAATTGTTTATTTATCCTTTAGTGAACTGTTAAGTAGTTAGCTAATTTTTATGCATTATATTTTACTAATAATTCATGAATATGCATCCATAAGTGCAATCATCCTATAAGTGGCTAACAGTTGTGTTTGCACAGATACAGGTGTGCACTCTCCTTGCTACATTTTAGTATAAAGTTTATATTGATCTTTTTTCTCTATCTGAAACTTTAAATAAAGCAGGAACTACTAAAGTATCCCCAAAATTCATTTTGGTGACTTTAAACCGAGGAATTATTGGGGAATAATTTACATTTCCTCCCAATTTGATTTTTTAAAAGATATTTTTACACACTTTGAGTAAGTTTGGGTATTTGTATTGTTCCAAAGATAGTAGTGTAAAAGAAATGTTATGCTATTGCCATATCATTGTATGTTGGACTTCATATCTCACTAATTCCTGTCCTCCCACTAAGTTTCAGGCATCCAAATTCCTTTTTATTCATAAACATACCCAGGATTTTCTCTCCATAGTCACTTTGCCTCATGCTCTTCTTTCTTCCTAAAATTCTCTTCTATGTTTCAAGTAATTCTGGAAAGACATAGGTAAACAACATACTAAAATCCAATGCTTTAAAATTCAAGTTAGAACATGAGTATTCAGTTATCCATTTTTATCTCCTGACTTTTCAAAATACTGTCTTTTATGTCCTTCATTGTACTTAACAGATGCCTCATCCTTAGTGCTGTCTGTGCTACGACAGGACTGTTGTGAGTCGGCATTGACTCAGTGGCACTTAGTTTGGTTTGCTGTTTTGCTTTAGCTTCTATATTTATAGCTTCATGAGGAAGCATTTCCCCCCAGTATTTTTCAGCTGGCGATTCCTGGTTAAGGAATTGTAAGTTATTTGTATCACAATTAATTACTTACTTTTACTTTTCCATTTTTTTTAAATATATATCTTTCTGGTACCTTTAGGTAGAATAGGTGTTGTTGTGTTTTTTAGTCATTTTATTGGGGGTTAATACAACTCTTATCACAATTCATACATCCATCCATTATGTCAAGCAGTTTTGTACATTTGTTTCCCTCATCATTCTCAAAACATTTGCTTTCTACTTGAGCCCTTGGTATCGGCTCCTCATTTTACACCCTCCATTCCCACTCCCCCCTCCCTTATGAACCCTTGATAACTTATAAATCATATCTTACACCATCCGACATCTCCCTTCACCCACTTCTCCACTTTCTGTCCCCCAGAGAGGAGGTTATATGTAGATCCTTGCAATCTGTTCCCCCTTTCTCCCTCACCTTCCCTCTACCCTCTCGGTATTGCCACTCTCACCTCTGGTCCTGAGGGGTTCATCTGCCCTGGATTCCCTGCATTTCCA